ATCTTTTATTATTGTTTCATTTAGAGCCTATAAGCAAGCAAAGCATCAGTTATATATAATTTTGGGATCAAGGGAAAGTTTTAAAATGCTATATTTTATCATCATTGCTTAGGATTGCAAACAGGAGGCAAAATCCTACCATTATCATAGACATCATTCTCATGATAAAATATGTTTGTCATTTTGTCTCTTTTATTTTAGTCAAGTCACTAACTGTATCAAGTATTGAATCCACTACTTCATTGAATGTAATACCATCAACCAGTAATGCCAAGAATATATCCACTAAAACATCAATTGGGCATAGTTCATCAAGAATAATACCATCATACAGTATTATAACATCTTTGATGACAGGTTTGCTATGTGTCTACAATATAATATATTCTTTTAATTACAGTAAGTGAATGATAACAAGATTAGAAATAATTACCGTACAAGATGATTTATTGGCAAATTTGCCTGTGGAAGTTAATTGGCTGATTTTATATTGGCAATTTTGTGCCACGTGCCATTGAGCATGCTCAGATTAAAACAAAATGACAGATTTTACATTGGCGATTTCTTCATAGATCCACTAATCGCCAATATTAATTCCTCAACAATAAATCATCTTGTAAGGTATTAGAATAGTTTGAAAATAAAGAGAAGAGGAGAGAAGGAGGAATGATAGTGAGGTTTGAGTTTTATTTGCTAATTACAATACATACATATAGATAAATTTAACTTGTTGCTGCTCACTCCTATCCAGTCAGTATTGGTTATCCTTAATATTTTTGATGAGCAACAGGCCAAAGAGCATCGCAGCTTATGCTAATATACAGTAAAGGCTATAGTAGATGAGAAAGGTTATAGTAGTTATAAGTGGTGAGCCAATATAAGCAAGCAAAGCATCAGTTCTATATAATTTTGGGATCATGGGAAAGTTTTGAAATGCTATATTTCATCATTGTTTAGGATTACAAACAGGAGGCAAAATCCTACCATTATTATAGACATCATTTTCATGATAAATTATGTTTGTCATTTTGTCTCTTTTATTTTAGCCGAGTCACTAACTGTATCAAATACTGAATCCACTACTTCAATAAGTGTAATATCATCAACCAGTAATGCCAAGAGTATATCTACTATTATACCTACAACATCAACTGGGCATAGTTCATCAAGAATAATACCATCATACAGCATTACAACATCTTTGATAACAGGTTTGTTATGTGTCTACAATATAATAAACTATTTTAATTACTAGTGACTAGTTCAATGCCAGTTGATGATGACACTGACAGTACAGATACAGCAGTGTCTATTAATGTTGGAATAACTGTAGCACTTGTGATCTCTGGACTGATTAGTGTCATATTCATAATATTAGCAGTTTCTGTTCTTCTTTATTTGTAAGTATAATATTAAATGTTGTGTTGTATTATGTTTAATTTAGGAAGATATTGACTAATAGGATGTCACCTACTGAGGCCAGTAATGTGGTGTATGATAAGAATGATAGTTATGAACTGCATAAAATAACTGATGAGTAAGTATAATTAATAATAATAATAATAATAATAATAATTCTAATTAATAGGACTGATGTGTATAAAGACGTTAAAGACATTTAACTCATTAATAAAGTCATTATTGTAATTAATTATTGTTAGTTGATGATTGAACATTATTAGTTAATAGTTACTTAATTTGACATTTTACTTTTTATAAAATAAGTTCCTTTGTTAGCTGCTACTGTACAAATACAATAAAATAGCTTTCTTCATTTCTTCTGTGAATAGGTCATAGCATTAGTTCAATTTACTAGCATATGAGGCAACATATAAACACTAACACTAACACTGAGAGGTTACTGTACTAACAGTATAATACAGACTGATCACTTTGAATAGTTTGAAGCACAAGCAGTAAATATTATTATTATTATTATTATTATTATTATTATTATTATTATTATTATTATTATATTTACGTAAAAGTAGTGAGTTTCATTACTATGATACTATTACAGCCAGTAT